GACTTCCTACTTCTCAAGATTGTCACCAACTCTTTCAATGGCAGTGTTCCATCTACGAATGAGGGCATGTATCCCGGTTTTGTAAAACACAGCTTGCTGCTGATGTAGCCAATTCCTTACAGAAGTTTTCACTTCTTCATCAACACCTGACTTATCACCTCCAGACTTCCATCTCATTAGCAAAATGAAAGAACACAAAGGGGCAAACGTTATGGTGGCGATGAAGGAGTGAAGACCGCTGTAAAGAATTGGCTACATCAGCTGAGTTTTATGAAACCGGGATACATGACCTCATTCGTAGATGGAATACTGCCATTCAAGTAGATGGTGAATATGTTGAGAAGTAGGAATGTGTACCTGTGATGTATAGCTTTATCTTGATGCACGATACATTTGATTGCGTTGCTTATTTCTTATATAATAAAATAAATTGCAATACCTTTTGACTCACTCTCGTATATTTTGCCGATTTTCACCATCTATGTAAAAAAAGAGACAAAATTTTGGAGTGATTTTTTCACAATGAGACGCCATTTTATTTATATTTTAAAAGCATTTTACAGAGTATTTTAATTACAATTATTATTTAAGCTTTAATTTCTCTCAGTATGTGAATGTCTGGTTACCTAATTAATTTTCATTTATTAACTGTTCCAGTCGATTACATAGATGCTCCATTATCGTCGATTTTTCCCGGAAGTTGAATGTATATAATATTAATTAATTTTAATTTTAAGGCGCGCGTATCATTCGGTTCGTATGTTAAAGAAAATTCTGTAACATTCGGAAAATGGCAGTATTGTCGTCTTCTAAAAGGAAGTAAACAAAAACTCGAGAAACTTGTTGTAACATAAAACAGATGAAATGGCAAAAAAATAAAAAAATAAAAAATAAAAAATCATTGTATAATGGAGTTATGAAAGAAAAACTTTATCTAAATGACAATTCAATACATTTTAGATATCAAAATATTAAAACTTCATAAAAATCGTTCGATTCAACAAAACGCAGCATCTGAAAGTGTTGTGTTGGCAGTCTCGATTTAAACATTGGATTTGGATTTTGTAGATTTCACAGACATAAAATAGAGGGGAGGTTTGCTTATATTCGGATCGGCGTATATACGAGCATAAGCGGTAATATCCATCTTTATCAATGGGATTAACACAGAGTGCTACAGAAATCCCCCTCCCCAAAATACCTCCCACATAATAGTAAGACATTAGTGATAATAGTGTCTTCATCTAGATAATATCTTACAATTAGATGAGCGATATTTCTGCCACAACCAGTATTAATATTAATCTCATATTACACAATGAAAAGTCAGCTATTAACTATATCACTCCATGATGTTATTGACCCACGATTGTATTTTTATTTACATTGTTTGAACTGTTGTCTTCATCTTTTTTGCCATATTCACAACATATGTACGCTCCGGCCTTCTTTAGGTGATTGGAATTTCGAACTGAACCCTTTGTTTCGTCCACCGGCGTAGATTGTTTTAATTCCATGTGTCATGCCTCTTCCGGGTGTCTCAGTTATCTCCCTTTAACTCAACTCTCCATGTTTTTGTTATTGAACTCACAACTCTAGGATCGAGTCACTGGAACCAACGTTTTTATTCATTGGGTCATGTGTCCTTGAGGCCATCAGTGTATGAATTTTTGGGACTTATAAAAGTAATCTCTCAGTTTCATTTTTTTTTTACCAGTGCTCATATTGGAATTTTGTTATTATTGCTTTTCTCTAGCTCCCATATTGTATTCATTTCCATGCTTGACCAACTTAGGAGATTTTTGTGGCCTAGCATAGGTGCTGATTCCTTAAGTTTTCGTATTTTTCAGTGATGTTTTCCGTCTGTTATTTCAACCTCATCCCACAGAGGCGGTGATTATCCTTTTCCCACTATATGTGTTCAGCTACGTCTGATTTTTCTATTTCCTCTAGTGTTACGGCTTTACAATATTCTTGCAGTCTTATCTTAAGCGGAGCAGCCTGTTTCTCCTTTATATTTTTAGCACAGCTGCACGGGATGACGTACACACAGTTCTTAGTCATATTCTCCTCTATGGAAAAGGTGTCTGCGAAGTGTTGAACTACTTTTGAAGGTCGACCTGATGTTATATGGACCACAGATCTTTTGTATTTTCCCGATAATCCCTTCACATGGTGTAGGCTGACCTAAGCTGTTTTCTGGGTGTTGTTATCGTTTTGTGTCCTCCTATACCAGTTTGTTGGCGCTGCTGCCTCGTACCCAGAGTAGTTGTTACATGGTAGGTTACTGCTTATACTGACCATTTCTTGTTCATATGTCTCTGGGTTGCCACTTATGACTTTTACTCAATGTTGCAAGCAGCGGACTATCCCTTTCTTTACACTGTATGGGTGGTGGGAGTTGAAGTTGAGGTATTCGCTGGTGTATGCTGGCTTGCTGTATACGGATCTCTGGAACCTATGCACTGTGCGAGGTATTAGTACATTCAGGAATGCTATTTTGTTGTTTTCTCTTTCATTGTGAACTGCATCGATGATCTTAGCTGGACCTATTTCTGGTGAGCCCAGAGCATAAAAGTATCATCTACGTATTTTAGCCATACAGTTGGCTTTAGTGATGTGGATTCTAATGCCATTTTTTTCGAAGTATTCCATGTATATGTTTGCCATTGCTGGTGATAATGTCGAGCCCATTGCTAAGGCTTCATCCTGTCGATATATTTCTGATCCCTTCCCGAAGATGTATTTTGTAATAATTTCACACCAGGTAAGGCAAGAAAGCTATTAATATGGAAAAGTATTATTGAGTGTGAAAGGAAATAAAAAATAAAAATAATATTAAGAAGAGAGAATAATAAAAGAACAAGAATTAAGAAGACAGAAGAAAACGATTAACATTGCTTTTAACTTTTTGAAGATCAATGACGGGAAAGCCAGAAGCCGGAAGAGAGTTCCACAAGTTAGAAGTGCAGGAGAAGAGACTGTTAACATTGAACAGTTACATCTAGCTAATTTAACTGTAAAACTATGAAGCCTAACTGCCAATTTAGTACTGCGTTTAAATTTTTAAAGTCTAGGTACCAAAGAGGAAATCTCATCAGAACAATAACCCCGAAAATATTTAGAGAAAATGATTAGGGAAGCTACGTTACGGCAGTTGGAAAGTGACTGAAGCCGAGATACAATGCCAGGACTAATAACATAGCAGATTATTTTTTTAAGATTTTATTAGGCACAGAAAAGCAACGTGTCGGCGGCGGGAAATAAACTTATGCAAATCTACACTGTGGCTTCGAGTATAATTGATATATAAAGTTTTATCAAAGTTACTTTAACAAAAAGAGAGAGAGAGAGAGAGAGAGAGAGAGAGAGTGTAAGAAAAAAAAAGGAAGGGGCAAGAAAAGAGAAAGCGAGACATACAAAACAGGAAGCGAAAAAGAGAAGAAAGCTGTACACAGACAGATTAAAAGGTCAAAGTTTAATGTACCGTTCACAGCCTGGCTTCACATTTAGAACCGTATTGTTTGGATAACATATGACATTTTACAGCATTCAATTTGAAGCCTTAAAACAAACAAAGAAGAAAAAACGATTTTGAATAATTATACCCAAACAAGAAACATTATGAATTGATCGATCTCACTATACTGACGGTGGGGTCTGCCAAACTTGCTAACTGTTGCTATCTGGCAGGCACTAAGATCAGAAATGAGGTGGGGGGCAGGGAGCAAATCTAAGAAACGGCTTTTTGACAGTCAGTGTCAGATGTACACATCGAATTTTATCCACAAGCACTGAAAACTGGAAGAGTGTCATTACTTTAGTAAGTACAATGTCTTAGGAGCAAGTCTAGTATATGAATCACACAGTAAGTTTGATACGTACTGGACACCTCATTACTGTGGTCCGGCACCAGATTAATTGTTTTCATTTTGAAATAATTCATATATTTTGCAAAGCAATTTTTTAATTCTTTTCAATCATGACCTTCACAGTTTCCATTTTTAAAAATTTTTTTTTATTGTCGGTGAATTGTAAATATCCCCTCAGGATGTAGACGAACATCGCCGCCACATTCCATTTCTTATCGGTGAATTGTAAATATCATATCCCCTCAGGACGTAGGTGAACATCTTCCACCCCAGATCCCATTTCTTTTTTATCGGTGAATGGTAAATGTCATGTCGCCTCAGGACATAGGCGATCATGGCTCTCCACAGATTCCTTTTCTATATTTTCTATGAATTGCAAATGTCATGTACCTTCAGGGCACGGGCGATCATGGCTCTCCACAGATTCCTTTTATTTCTTATGTATGAATTGTAAATACAATACCCCTTCCGGGCAGAAGCAATAATGGCTCTCATTAGAATCCTTTTCTTTGTGATCTATGAATTGTAAATGTCATGTCCCTTCAGAAGATGAGCGATCATGGCTCTCCACAGATTCCTTTTATTTCTTATGTATGAGTTGTAAATGTTATGTTCCTTCAGGTCATAGGCAATCATGATCCATTTTTTTTTTATCTGTGAATTATAAATGTTATGTTGCATCAGTTATGTCACCTAAGTGAGTTAATTCGCACGTACAAAATGTGAATCAGAAATATCATTGCATATGTGCAAAATTCCAGAATTAATACCAGATCTATGATTCGATAAAAGTCAGCTTGTTATTTTAGCGTCGCATATAACGGAATTCATTCAAGTGATTTTAGAGCTAACGTTTGGAACACTAGACCGAAAGCATCTTTTTAAACAACTCTCGAAATAATTCTTAAGTATGTAGTCTTATTAATAAACGTCTTAATAATAATATCAAGATAAAAAGAAAGTTATCATCACAAGAGACAGCAGGAGAATTTAATACTCAAGAAGGCAAACAGAGTGAAACAGTGTATAAACATAACACAACGTGTTTGAGTAAATGGATGACACAACCAGCAAAAAAAGGGCGGTAAATTATTAAAAGTTACTTAGAGACAGGAAGGTGACATCACATTTAAACACCGGTTCAGCGAAGTTAAGCAACATCGAGGCAGGCCAGTACCTCGATGGGTGACCGCTTGGGAATACCAGGTGCTGTATGCTTGGATGTGCGGGTGGTGTAATGGATAACGGCTCGGAATTGTTAATCGAGGAGACTGGGTTGGGTCCGTTATATTCACTTCCGCGTTAAATACCCTTGAGGAAGGTATGGATCCACCACTTCTTCACATTTGTAAGACTTGTATCACTAAACTATTATTACTATTTTCTGGCTTTAAATAACCTGCAAAGGTTTGATACGCCGTAGAAAACAAATCAATCCGTTAAAGACAGGAATCTGTAGAGAGCCATAATCGCCCACGTCCTGAAAGAACTGTGCACATAACCTAGAAATCTTTGAACCGTGAAAAAAAAAACAAAAAAAAACTGTCATTCTTTTATTTCTTATTGGCAAAGAGGCAAAATTTGTCTAATTCGCTGTTCACTTGAAAGTTACCTCCTGGAAACATCCGAAAATTTCATCCAGATCGAGCTGGAAATTTACTTTGTTAAAAGTGGATCTAATAAATCAATAATCAGAAATCACAGCAAGAAGTAAAATCTATTTACGCATTTCGTCTTTCCTTAAATGAAACGTGAAATAAGATTATCAATTTCCATCCTTGTCGATATTGCTGATGCAAGTAGATTTAAACATGGTCAGTATTCCTTTAGAATTACAAATATATTATCATCGCAAAATGCTGTCATAGAAAGATAAAATTTATTTCTACTTGGCAGCATCGACTAAAGAATGGCGCTTTGTCCAAACGACATTAAAATGCAGATCTGCGCATGCAACTGGTTAAGTATGTCACACAGATTAAGAACAAATTTAAAATGTACATCTATTATTCATTGGTTTTCTATGTAATCGTATTAATCGGCAGAGAAATTTTAGTCTTATCACATGGAAAGTAGTACGCATTCTCTGTCTGTCTGTCTCTCTCTCTATCTATCTATCATATTCGGTACATATCTAGCTGTGATAGTCTGTACATATCTATCTATCTATTTATCTATCTATGATATTCTATACATATCGAGCTATGATAGTCTGTACATATCTATCTATCTATGATATTCTGTACATATTTAGCTATGAGAGTCTATACATATGTATCATCTATCTATCTATCTATCTATGATATTCTATACATATCGAGCTATGATAGTCTGTACATATCTATCTATCTATCTATCTATCTATCTATCTATCTATCTATCTATCTATCTATCATGGGTCCTGGCTGTTCGCGAAGATAGTAGTTCTGATGACAGCAGGAAGTGTTCTTATCTCGAAAACATACATATTGATTTGATAAATAGATAGAGCCTGGCGACGGAAAAATGTCAAATTATTAAAGTATTGATTTGTCTTTTATATTTTATATTTTAAAATGTTCTTTGCAGTAATTTTCCCCTGTTCACATGTTTCACATTAAAGGGAACAGGTTATAAGTGCATGTACACAAATATATATTTACCAGTTTTCAGATATCACAGTAGGATTTATTAAACAAATACATCAAACTTTTGTTATAAATATATTAATACAGAAAATGCTGAAAATATGTATAATCAACAGATGTCAAAATATTCAAACTATATTTTGCTATATCAAATATAATAATGTTTGCTTCAAATATTAAGAAAAACAACAAAAAACAAAAAAGACAAAATACTATCTATATTTTTCATTGATTTTTTTTATCTAAATTTCTTTCAGATGTTGAATTGATTTTCCACCATTTTCATGTAGTCCGTGGAATAGATACGTGTCTCGTTTTCCGCCATATTAATTGATTTATCTACGGTTTATTAACTTTTCGTGGTTTAGGCTGAAACATATTTTGCATTATAAAAATAATTCATTTACATTGTTAGATTAATATTTTTTTTAGAACAACAATGATTTTACCAGTTACAAGTCATACTATTTAATCCATAATTAGGGGAGGAGATGGAGTCATACCTTTCCCGAGAGTATTTGCGTGTAAGTGAATATAACGATCCCGTAGCAGTTCTTGGAAAAAAGATGTTTGAAACTTTCTCCTTGCATTTGAAATACGGAGGAAATAAGGATGATTTGACTCTGTGGATGTAGCATGCCGTGCTCTAGCTGTAAAGGTGGTAGCTATATTGTTTTGTTTTTACGGTTTATCAGGTTATTCAAATTCAGAAAAATATTTTTAGTTTGTAAGATTTTTTTAAGGTAATAATGATTTATTGGTACAAGTCTTACTAATTAATACATGGATAGGTGGAAAAAAGGAGGATCCATACTTTTCCTAAGGTATTTACACGTAAGTGAATATAATAAACCCAACTAGAATTCGAACTCGGCTCTCCTATTTCCCATTATTGTTGTCGTTGTTCATCGTTATGTAGTCGATTTTGTTCTTCGTTTCTTCTCCTGGGTCTCTCCATATCCATGTACGTCTCGGGTGTTCTTGAAACCAGGTGTTGCCTGCTATCTGATTGTTCACCGTGCATCAATGGACCCATTTTTCACCGCCTTCTTTACGAGTTCCTAGTCCAAATTTGCCAACTATTTCACAATCTCTCCTCTTCTCTACTTTAACATTCGGATCTTCCATGACAATACTGATTTCCTGCTATTTGCATTGAGCCTTGTCATTGTCTAGCGTATAGTAAATTTTTCAAATTCTTCTTCCCTAATTTGTGCTGTTGTCGTGTTTTATAAGCTTAGCTTAATATCGCAAAGAACCTTAACAGTAAGAAAACCAGCGAGTGTGCATGAGTATAAAACTAATTGTCTAATGGATTAGTTTGCTAAGACGTAAATTTGAAATACATTAATAAACCACTGGATAGACTTATAATTCACAGATCTGGATAAAGTAAGTCGCAATGAGCTATTCGAACTGCTAAGTAAACTTGATATATTTAGGAAGGATATTAGAATTCTTCTAATTTACTGACTTTTTGCATAAAGTTTATGCCACTGTAAAATCTTAAAAACATTTAGTTGCCGCCGCATTAATCTAACAAATGGGAAGTCCAAAAATTCCCAAGAATTTTCCGAATTCTGATAAATAGAGCACGCAACTGAGTTAGTGCCGAAATAGGACAAGAACAATATGGTTTCGTTAAAGACTTTGGGACAGAGAAACCGATATTCATGGTCAGAATGTTATCAGAAAGAGCAATGCAAATGCAAAGGAATGTATACTTATGTTTTATAGTTTATGCAAAAACTTTTGATAAAGTACATCATAAAGAACTATTTGAACTGCTAGGTAAGCTTGACATATTTGGGAAGGATATTAGAATATTACAGAACTTATATTGAGAGAAAATCACCTGCATACAGATAGAAATGAATTCAGTAAATGCACAAAAATAGAAGGGGTGCAAGACAAGAAATGTGTCTTCTCGCCAGACTTATCAAAGATTTACTATGAAGCGGTTCTAAGAGAAGTAGAATTCCTACTAAGATTCATTATTGGTAGCAACAATGTTAACAACATAAGATATGCAGACGACACAGTGTTGATAGCAGATACAAAAAGGAAAATACAGGAACTCTACAGTAAGATAGTAAAGGAAAGCGAGAAGAAAGGACTAAACATCAACTGTAAGAAGTCAAAATGTATAGTTATTAGGAAACCCCTATATACGAATTACAAATTGGAGATGCAAAATCAAGCAAGTAGAAAAATTTAAATATCTAGGAAGTGTTTAAACAGAGGACAGAAAGTGCGAAATCCAAATCCAAAGGCGCAGTGGGATAGTGAAAGATGCCTTCTAAAAGCTAAGCGATTATCAAGAAACAGGAAATTCTGATTAGAAACAACAAAACTGAGTACCGGGCTGTCATGTAATATCGATCCTTCTATAAGGTAGTGAATGTTGGACAATTTCCTCATAGATTAAGAAGAGACTGAAGGCAACAAAAATTAAAAGCAATAAAGACTGGAGGCAACAGAGGATAGAAGCAACAAAGACTGCAGGCAACACAGACTGTAAGCAACAGAGACTGTAAGCAACAAAGACTGGAAGCAACAGACTAAAGGCAACAGAGGCTTGAAGAGACGAGGTTATATGTTGAACATATGTGCAATGACAAAGTTTTAGAGAAAATAGAAAGAAAAAGGACGTTTATACTTAACATCAGAAAGTGACAGTTGAAATTTCTAGCGCACATAGTGTGGAAAGAGGGTTTAGAAAATTGGGCACTCACAGGACATATAGAAGGCAAGAGGGACAGAATGCAGCAGTGCATAAACTATCTAGAGAGTTTGTGTAAATGGTTGGCAGCACAGGGAATAGATACAATAGATTTTCTAAGAGATACGAAAGAATGGAAATTGTGCCATTATTACCCATGACCTGAAGTGACTCGGAACATATAATAATAATGATATTAATAATAATAATAATAATAAGAAGAAGAAGAAGAAGAAAAAGAAGAAGAAGAAGGAGGAGGAGAAGAAGAAGAAGAAGAAAAAGAAAAAGTAGCAGTAGATTATTTCATAAATTCTTTTAATTGACTAATCTTTCATTCAGTTCCGTTGCACATCAAGAAAGAAAAGTTGAATATTTAGACTTACCTCCCTTTCTTCCAAAAGGCATTGCTGAAGGCAGCAAAATCTAAATGCTTTCGGCGAAGGACACCACTTTAATTGTTTGACACTCTAAGTGTAAACTGGCCGTGGGCCCTTATTGTAATCGGTTCATCACTTAGGAGAAAATGGTTTCTGTTAGGTTTGACACAAAATTCTTGGTGAAGCAAGTCAGCACTTTCGTTGATTGTAATAACAAAGTGAAAGCTGTATACATTTTAAGGTCTGCGATCTTCATCATAGGCAAATATATAATTGAAAGAAAAAGATTCGAAATATTTGGACAATACTTAATATAATGGACCCAGATTTACATTATATCACAGGGAAGCAAGAAAAGTCAACCAGAAAATATAAAGAATTCCTTAGCTATATTTTTTATTTAAAATCAAAATATATATTAACCTATACATATCCTACTGGTGTCTGTTTAATCTGATGCCTTCTTTTTCTTTTAAATCTCAAATATAAA